TTCACTTTTTTAGAAACAGGTATGGTGGCATTAATTTCGTGATAACATTATTTGACCCTCAAATAAATAATTGATCTTATTGTAAATGTGTATAGTATTTGTTCCATTTATATAAGTTGATCTACAGATAAATTATAAATGAACTGCATTCAAGGTAACTCTATTATTATGTTTAAGCATAGTAAATTAATATCCATTGATTTAATTTATTTTATGTCTCAGAGAATCAATCATTAAAAAAGATGACCGTTTAGATTTTTTTACCTGCTGCTTTTGCAAATTTAAAAATATCATTTAAATACACGCCATTAATTCCCTGAACGAACACTTTCATAAGAAGCTCTACTGCTACTAAAATTTCCTCCTAGTCCTCTTCATTTGGGTCTAGTTATAAACGTACTTAATTTAGGAATAACTCCTTCCTCTTTTAGATATTAATCAATTCGCAAGGTACAAAGCGTAGTAAAGACCTTGATAATGATCCATCGCCAACGGAAGAGTACAATTAATGCAATAATAGAGATACAATCATTGTCAGTGACCGCGTATTGTCTTATCGTGTTTTGATGGAAAATGGAGGGAAATACAAGGTATTAAAGACTATAATTGGATAATATACAGTCTTGGTAAAGATTAGTGCAGTATTCTTGGTAACATCAAAGGATATGACAAAATTCTTTTAATAATAATAAAAAATTAAGTTTTTTCTGAGTGTGCGATCTTCGTATTAATAATTATAACAAACTAGTGGAGATATTTCACAAAAAATAATTGAATATCAATTCAACAAAAAGTTAAAATACAGCGAATAGCGACATCTCTCGCCAGGACTGGTAGCTGTAAAGGTACTAACTGGGTGATAAATCATTCATAACACTTTCATAGATTTCTCACAGATGGCGCTACGACTAAAAAGTCGTTGAAAACCAAATACAAAGACACGACGCAAGCACATGGAAAAATTCGTGAGGTCCGCTGGTTCGTTCCGTGACTTAGTTGGCGTCTGGCACGGTAAGCTAGAAGACGTCGTCGGTTCGAATCCGGCCGGATCGAAGGAATTTTTTTGAGTGTTCGTTTTTTGTATTAGCAATTATAACAAACTAGTGAAGTAATTTCACAAAAAATAATTGAATATCAATTCAATAAAAATTTAAAACAATAATAAAACGTTTCGGATCTTTTTCACACTTCGAGTTAGAAGTTTAATTTTATTGTTTTAAGGGCTACTGAACATATTTGAGGAGCTCTTAAAGGTTATTATACTATTTTAATAACATTTTGTCATCTATAGGAAAATTAAGGAAAGCATGAAGTGTCTGTCACTGCTGAGTTCAACGAATTCATAACGAAGAACGTATAGATCAAATAAATTCTGACACCATTGGTGAAGGGGGAGTTTCCCTCAACGTCTCCCCTTTTACGTTTTTCTCCGACATTAAGTGATTTACACATTACTTTTGCAGTTAAGTCAGTAAATGAATAAAAATAAATAACGCACACATTCATAACCCCGTAATAGGGAGACCCTGTACCGCGAGTGCCATGGACACACATAGACAACCAAAAATTACACCTAAACTATCGAGAGAAATATACTGCCTCCGGTGGTCGAACGGGTATCATACTGCCACGCAGAGGTCCCGGGTTCAATTCCCGGGCCGGGAGAAATATTTGTATGGCCTACATTTATTTCTCTTGTGAGTTTGGGTGTGCTTTATGGTTGTCTATGTGTGTGTCCATCGCATACAGGATTTCCCTAGTTTGGGGCTAAGGGGGTGTGCGTTAAAAAAATAAGATAAGCAACAGGTGGTACCTGACTGTTAGATTTAAAAAGAAAAACTGTCAAACTGCAGATTATGTAAAGTTTTCTCTGTTTGATTATCATCATTATCAAGTAGACATCCACTTATCAAGTACTACAACGTCCGGTTATGGATGCAGTTAGATCCGTTTATTTGTTCCACTCTTCTAGTTCAAGGTGAACAATGTTTATCACTAATTACAGGTTTGTTACCACTGCACTGAGTGCTTATTAATTGTATTTTCCCGATATTTTGGAACGATTACAATGCTCCATGGACACAGGACCTCGAGTCTGCTAATTTTATATCATCTCCGTTGTGTGTCGATCGCGTGTCAGGTCAAGATTTTGTACGTTGGTATTCTGCTAAGTCAAGTGGCTATCGAGTATATAACCAGAAATAGAGACGAAATGTCATTTTTTTAAAACTATTCTGCAATATCATTACGGTGACAACTGCGCCCCGATTGGCCAACCCGAATTCGAAACAATTGACGGGTGTCGTCAATTGTTTCACTTCAAAACGACCAGTTTTACTTGAGCTTTGCTATAATGGACGAAAAGTGCAAAATTACATGTTTAATATTTAATTACAGATGAAATCTGATTCCGTTTGTTTTGCACTTAGATGTTTTGCTGTTTTTTCCACACCACCGAATGGAACAGCCCCTATTGTTAGAGATATTATCTTTATTACAATAAATAATTTAATATTATTGGAATATACAGTGACGTAAACACAGGTTAGTTGTTGGAGCTGTACTATTTCAGCTTTCTAATTTGTGATTTCAGCGCAAACGAGAGTTGATATAAGGCCCATTTGCCTGAAGAGTTGCCAGGGATGATGGCCCTTATTTCGTCTCTATTTCTGATTATATACTCGATCAACGAGTCGATGACAAAATCTATTAATTATTTGACATAAAAAAATACTTCCATACATTGCTACTTAAACGAGGTAAATATTAAAATACGAATAATATTTTCCTTGGTAGATTTAGTATTGGCTGAGAACAGCCACGTCGCTGGTATTATGCGGAGCCCAGGGAGTGCGTCACAGGCGCACTAAACTAATACTACAAAAACATTGACTTACTTAAATTCGCAATATGCGTACAATTAATTTATGATGCGACAAAATGTGTGATGCTTAACTATATCTATACCTATTGTTAATTTATTTATAATTAATTGATAATATTATGTTATGTATGCAAACGCCATTCAACTATCAAACAAACTTAATTATATATAAAAGAAAAGAAAAAACTACTTATTTCCTAACTATTAAGTTGGAACTGATTGCAAAAAGTATAACCGAATTAGGCCACATATACATACAAAATCCACTTATACACAAATGATACATCTAATATTTCTTATGTGTTTTTTTGCAATTCTGTTAAATAAAATCTATAGTTTTTTTTTAAAGAATCAACATTATTAGAGAATAAATATTGTCATTACTGCTATAAAATCTCAGTGGAATTACAATGGCAAGTCGTTTGAAAAAAATTAGCACAATTGGAGTTGACTCACCTCATGAAGGCTGTAATTAGTGATAATTATATAGTTAATAATCACGAAAGCATTAAAATATATATCGTCGAGCATTGTGCAATTACGCGTAACTAGCATTTGATTACGAGTTTCCATTTTGGTAATTTTGTGGCCAAATCAAGTCCGCGTATATGTCGTGGCAACCAAATTAGCGGGAATCTATTGTTATCAGTCCGTAGACAACATAAATTAACGCTTACTGTGCAAAAATGAACGTTGCAGCCGTTGAAATAACGATAATAGTTATAACGATAAATCCCTATCCTGTGGAATTTGGTTTGATGCAGAAACGCGCCTTTTACCAAATACTACATACGCGAATTTGCATTATCACCGACGATATTATGAAGAATGTTGTTTGTTGAAAATTGTGCCTGTTTTGCTGCATCGATTTGTGTGTGAGAGCGTGTGCGCGCGTTTTTTGAAAATTCCACATGGCCTGCGACCGTGCACGACAAACTGAGCAATTGGGACAACTCATAAAATGAGAATAAACGGGAAGTAACGTTGCATTATGACGTACTACTATCTTTTTAGATTATGTTTTACGTCATATATTTATAACGCTGTTGTTTCGGTCTTAATATTATTTGATGTATATTCGATTACATTGGGATTGACCCGTGCTCGGAGCTGGAGTGTGAGTTCACAGTTACGTGGAATTATATTCAGAGTGATATCAATACGGTCTGCCTGCCTTTATAGTCAGCAGTTATTATTACGAGACTTTACATTCTACTTTAGACTTTCTTCTTTAAAACTAGTGTATTTAAAAAAAAATCTAAATTCTCATTACAAAATTGAACCTTGCGTCATTGACATAAGGTTTTCGTTTGCTATATAGCATTGTATTTAAATTCAAGTAGGTAATTAACAGAGATAAGAATACGCAGGGTATATTTACCTAAACTTGAAGTAATATACATAGAGTGCTTATACCTCCGTCTAAACTCGCGAAATTTTTAATAAAATTAAAAAACCACGACAAAACATTTATAGACTTTTAATTTAAATACACTACTAACTAACACTAAAAGTCTACAAAGTTCAAAAATATCTAGATCAAGAGAAATCGCAATGGCAAGAAACAACTACAAAAATATACATGACGAATGCATGACGTAGGTACTTGATAACATCGATAATAACTAACTTATAATTTCAACCAACTTCGTACGGCCCGGATAGCTCAGTCGGTAGAGCATTGGACTTTTAATCCAAGGGTCCAGGGTTCAAGTCCCTGTTCGGGCGGCCATATATTTTTATTTTTATTACTTATTTGCAATTATTTTGTTTTTTTTTGCTTTTTTTTTATTCTTTATATAGATATTTCAATACCTTAATACAATAAATTATCATCTGTAAGTTGTTACTACATAACATTCAACCTCTCTGAACTTTTCGACTTAAATAATTAACTGTTTATTTTCGTTAATATTATCTTAATTTTTTTTTCAAATTTTTCTAGTTCGTTATTTATTAGAAAAAAAACCTGTGTCAAGTACACTTTTTTTTTACAAAAACGTCATGCAGTCAAGAACGTCCTAAATTAGTAACTTTTTTAGTAATTATAACAATATGAAATTATCCTATAACATAATTCATTTAATTGTCTATTCACCTACCGCGAAATTTTCAGGGGTTGTGACGTCACGACGGCGCGGTCACTTATCCACGTTTCTCCGTCACACCACCAGCCTCCAGCGCGTTAACGCCCGCCGCAACGAGTGCCCGCCTCATTCTGAGAAGCGGCCTGCACAGCACGCACGCACCGCAACAACGAATAAAAATACGAAATCAAATAAAAAAAAACCGCTGTGATAAATTAGCGATGTCAATAATCCAAGTGCTAGTGTGAACAAACATTACTATGAAAAAATTAAACTAAAATGACACGCGCTTCAGCTTTCAAAACCGTGTTTTAAAATAAGTGTTTTTAAAAAATATCCCGGACTTAAAATGACCAAGTACAAGTTAAATAACGCGGCGCGGTCCGCTTCGGAAGTGACGCTGACTTCGTACATGACAGGTAGCACGGACAGCACGAATATAAAAAGAGACGAGCGGCATTATCAGATACCGGAACTTGATACGAATCAAAACGGGAATCTGAACTCTCAGAACAGGAATTTAGAGGCGGCGAAGAGTTGTCACGTGTGCCCGCACTCCTGTGAATTTTTGGAGCAAACGGGCAAACTAGCCGCTTCGTTAGTGAAAACTGAATGCGACAGATTTGGGCTGAACGAGCTGAAGGTGGGAGGTCTGGATAAGAACGTGTGCTTGTGTGAGAAGTACAACGGGGGTTGCAAGCTGTGCCCTCGGCCGAGTCTCGCGCCGACCCTCCGCTTGAGTCTTGATGGCAAGGAAACTTGCCTCGCCTGTCACGATAATTCCTGCGCACCTTATTCAAGTAAGTCCTTATTAAACACTGCTCTATTTTAGATATTAATCATTAAAAAACAAGTTTTTTTCCGCGGATTGTTCGCTTAACGACATTGGAAAGATCCAATACGTGTTAATCATCTCTTATCATTACTTACGTATAGCAAATCGAAAATTCGAAACCAGTGACTTGAAAAAAAAAACTAGCTTTCTCTAAAAAGTTGTACAGCCTTGTACCAGTTATCACTATTTATTGGCATTATGCAAAGCAATCCATTTGGTGACCAATTTCTTTTTTTTTTAACAAACTGGATATGACTTTCGTGTACAACCTTTTAAGGCCCTATTTCGAAAAAAACAATGATCTTTAGCGCATTATTACGATAACACCAGGTATTATAATTTACGAGGTGAATGTTGATGGCAGCTATAATACCTTCTCATCATCATAGGTAATAGTTAAGCAGGGTTGAACCGACGTGATTTGTGGTTGGTCAGCTTTTTTAGACGCTTTCCATGAGGCAAACGATGATTTATAATAAAATTGTTTTCCCATAGTTAAATATTAAAACAATAAATTTGAGTTTAGTTTTAGCGTCTTGAGCACCAATTCATCTTATTCTAAAATAGATTACAAATCTTGCAATACAAATTTCTACTACGTTTCAATTGTTTTTATAAGTAATTCTATTCTTTCCATTATAATGTGGAATTTAACTTAATGTTTTCTTTATACATTACACTGACATTGTTCTTCGTGATAATAATATCTTTATTTTAACAATGCATTCCTATATGCAAATGACAATAATATTTTTTTATGATAATTCGATACGACGGAGAAGAAAGGGCGTAAATGATAAAATCCAAAATTTTACGGGACGAGCGAAAAACGAAAATTTAAAAAAAGTTTTTGATCATATCTTTTGTATTTTTATATCTATATACGAGCAAGTCGTGCGCCTATCGTGAACAGCTTTTGTGCCACTCAGAACTTTAAATCGCAAATCGTCACGAAGACATCAAGTTGACAAAGCCTGTGTGCCCGTAGTCTCACCAGCGCACCTTTCTTCACATTACTGCTCGGTGGCAAAAATGGCAATGGTAAATTAATTTCCTTGGACGTACTCTTCTAAATTTAGCTCCACTGCTAATAATTGAAAACTAAAAATGTTTAAATCAAAGTTAAAAATATATAATTCGCTTATATCCTTTTAAAGACCTGTGTAGTTCACAAAATCAAACGTTTGAGGGTTGTCGCGTTGTAAAAGTTGTTTTATTTCACGTAACATGCCAAGGAAGTCAGCTAAATAATAACCACTATTTGACTAGGATCTAATTATACTAGTATGAATACTGTCTGTGTCTGAAATACTTGTTTATTTTAACTGATTTTTTTATCACAAGTTTGTCTAAGGTTAAATGTACTAAATTCATATAATAACTGCCATAAACATTATGTTTGTATTTCTATCACCTTTAAAAGTATCTGTTAAATGCTTAAACGAAAGAAAGGTGCGATAATTCTCGTTTTTAAACAGTGAATTTGAGCGCTCTGTAAATCGCGTACCTAATATGATTCTTGTTATCGTTCTCATCTCCTTCCTTTGATATGCGTTCCCAGGAAATATCCTTGCTGGTCTCATTCCTGGAATAGTTTTAATTGGTTAATTACTAGTAGCAGTAAAGCAGTAGAGCTCCTTGTGAAAGAGTGCGTCCTGAAGTACTGCCACCTTACCTATTTCTGCCGCCAAGCAGTAATGTTAGCATTACTGCCTTCCGGTTTTGACGGGTAAGGGTGCTGGTGAAATCACAGGCACATGGGACTTATCAACTTATGTCTCAGGGTATCGGGCGCAGTGGCAGTGCCCCTCAGATCTTTGCGATTTAAAGCTCTGAGTGGCACTGCAACTGTTACAGACAGGCGTGTAGCTTACCATTAGGCGCACGACTAGTTCGTCCCGTCATTTGACATAGTGTTGGGTAGGACATGAAATTAAAATGAGTTTCAGGGAGTACCTCAATTGAAAAAATGAGGCGGTACAATGTCCTACTTCAAATGAGGTGAGGTAGTGATAAGAATTTTTGCACCTACGGTAATGACTTGACAGTCAGGGAATATTAAGCACATTTTCATAAGTTGATGGTGCCAATCAATTCGATAACTTAAGTTATGATATAGTATAAATAAATGCTAATTTTATTTACTACTATGGTAGTAAGATCATCAGACAGGGAGTATTAAGCACACTTTTATAACTTGATGGTATCAATCAATTGTATAACTTAAGTGTTATGATATAGTATAAATAAATGCAAATTTTATTTTGTACTATAGTAGTATGATCGTATGTTATAAAATCAGCTAAAGAGCGGGTAGTGCAGGACCAGTCTATGTTGCATTTCTTGAATTCGAAGCAGTGTGACATGACATGAGGTGTTGGGACAAACTAACCAAGCGAGTGGTAGAAACGAGTCGCCTCGTGTATGAGTAACTCATACTATATAAAAAAGTTTAGCAGTAACCTGCAGCACAACCACCCGGCGCCATGGCCCCCTCTGCACCCCCCACGCTACGCCACTGCTACTCATCACAACTGAATTCAAGGCCTGTGCGAAGCCTATTGTACTTAAGGTACCAGTGTTCAATTCCTTATCGGTCGTCGTGTCAGACCACCAGTGCCACGCCAAATGCCCTAGTTTCACGGACTAGTCCACCTCTGATCCTATCTTGTAATTCTGCCGCTGTGCCACCTGTTCGAGCCGCCTTGTCGTGTCGGCATCCTCGAGTTTTGACCTCAACCTTTTATTGAGGTATAACTCTATGGCAGAGGCTCCTAAATTTCACCTTCAACACACTCTCTACAACTCTTACCAAACTCTGCTATACTACATCACTCATATTTCTGTTCTATTCTTTCTTTCTTCTTTTATTTATCAGTCGCTTCAAAACATAATGTTAGATGATGCATATGTTTCGGTGTGAGTCGTACCTAAGTTGCGCATTCTAATGCGCGGTCACCTTTAAAATCTAATTACGTGTTTCACGCTTGTAACTTCTTTCACTACGGTCATGGTCACGCTTACAGATAAGTCTGTTATGAGGAAACAAAACTCGAGATTAGAACCTTTTCATACAGGCTCCAGATGATGTTTCTTTTTCGATATTATTCTGAATAACCCTTCCACGTTGTGTGATACCTGTCAAGGTGCATTGTGTTTATTAGTGTATAAGTATATTTATAAGTAGGTATATTTTGGTAACGACAACACATGTAAAGCACTTATAAATAAATAAAATACAAAGATCATACCAACACTGGAAAGGTAAAACGTCTAACGTGCATTTGGAAAATATTACAAGACAGCGATTTAATGTAATTTAAATAAAAAAACATAGCGTTTTCTTCTTTTTTCTCAAACATGCTCTAAAATGTTTGCATTACTTTCAAAAAACGAACACGGTAAGGTTGTCATTTATGGACCATGCGACTTCTTGCCGGCCAAAGCCTGCAAAGTAAGAATGAAAATCCATTACTGTCCTCTTCTCTAAACATAAATCTACCTACTAATAATGAGCTATGTAAACGGGCAAAAGAAAAACTCATACAACCAATTGCCCAATATTCGTAATTGCGAGAATTAAAAATACCCACCTGTACCTGTACCCAGCTTACTTAAAAAAAAAATTAATTGGCGGTAGCATTTAAACTAAAGTGTTTTGGTATTCTTTTGTTTTGTCGTCTTTTTTGTATTTTGGTCGCGAAAATGAGAGCTAGTGAGAAGAGCGATAACGAAAATACAGTAATAGATATACATACAAACACATCATCAGAAGTTCAGCAAACTACTATTAATGTACCTGGAAAGATAATAACTTTTTCTTTTAGCAATTGTCGTAACACGTCAAATATTACTTTTAATATTAATACTTTTTTTATATATTTTTTTTACATTTTCGATTATACATCTTCCATTATACAAAATTCCATACATGCCTCGTCGGGAACGAGGATTGCTTGACTCGTATTAATACAAGTCCTTATAACTCGTGCTCATCCAGCAATCCCTTACTTCCCGACTCTGCAATTATGTACTAAAATCACTCTCCTGTAATATTTTCCAAATGCACTTTAGATGTTTTACCGTTCCAGTGTCGATATATAAATTCGTAATATCCGCTGACACGTCATAGCTCAGAACGAACGCCGCAATGACACTGGTTCAAGTCCAATCTGATCGTAGGAATTTTTCTTTGTGTCGTTCTCTTTGTATACGTACAATAATAATAATCGGATTATAAACATTGTGTAATTCGACGTAGTATCGAATTTTTAATAAAAATACAATGGGAACACCATAAATTTTAGTCATCCACATAAACCCTGCGTCATTGTAAAACCGCTATTGTTAAAGAAGATTTATAGTTACAAAATTCTTGAGAAAATAACAATTTGGTGACTCATTGAACAGTTATTTACGGATAATTGTTTAAGTAGTTACTAAAATAGTTTTCACTTTGAGTCACGTCATAACTCGTCGTTCGACGTTATAATTATAATCATTTATTTCATATTATCAATGACACAACACCACAGGTACTTAACAGTTACTACGCACAATACTACAATTTATAATTGATATTTTTTTATTATTAATACAAAGATCGAACTCTTAGACAAAAAACTCTTTCGATCCGACCGCATTCGAACCGACGTCTTCTATCAAACCGTGCCAGCTAAGCCACGGAACGAACCAGCGGACCTCACGAATTACTTTCATAGTTTCTCTCTGCCGAACTTGTGCTTCACTACGTAAACCAAAAATATTTTGACTGAATTATGGTTTATTGTTCTGTTTTGTACTGTCGAAATAAAGGCAATATTAAAAATGTATCCATTGAAGGCGTTTCGTATCCTCGATAAATGTTACTTTCACTAAATTAAACATATAACTGAATTGATAATTTTGTGCCATTAAATAATAACTTTTTTACAAAAAACCGACCTCAAAAATTATTTCCTTCAA